TCAAGTGAGTACAGTAAAGAACAAAGTGGCCCTGTTGTTGTTTGTTTTGGGGTTGTTGTTTTTTTTTGGTGGTGTTTGTATGCCCACACCGACACAATTTATATCATTTTTGGAGGCAGACTTGCGACCCTGTCTGTCATGTCCAACCCGGACTGAGAGTGGTAGATATCTACAATATCCCAGCAGAAAGGCTAGTCAGAGATACTTGATGGCGCTCATATGACGCTATGCAGTTGCGAGCGTCGTAAAACCTCTACTAATACAAAAAAAGAGATACTTGATAAAAGTTCGCCCCACTCACGAATCAAACTTGGGTATCTGTGTGCGAGAGCGAAGCGCCTAACCACTACACCACAGACGCCGACCCCTACTGTTTTACGAAAAAATACAAAGAGAAATCCTAGCCATGGTTTGGATAACATTGTAATTGTAAAACTGAGAATCGAGGTTGTGTGTGCTCTGTGTATTTATTTCCTTTTTTTGTTGTTTTGTTAGGGCGGGAGGATGGTGGGGGTGGCGATATTGCATGTGCATGCGGATGAGTGTGCGTTGTGCTTGCGTGATGCCAAAGAGTGGGAGGAAAGCAAGCGGACTTTGAATATTCCTGTCATCCCTAGACCGCAAATTTGAAAGGGTTTGGATGACTTAAATGTCATGTGAGCTGATGTTTCGTGCAACGTTACGCTCCTCAAATCGGATTTCTGAGGCATGCAGCGCGTTCCATTTTGATGTCATGTTCTGTTCTTGACAGCTCTGTAATAGAGCAATGGACGCTCATCGTCACGTCATTGATGATCACGATTCATTGGGCGTTTCGTCTTTTATCGTGTCTTGGTGTTACGATATCTTAAACCTTTTTCCTTTTGATGACTTTTCTTTGTGTTAGAGAGTGTTGATTGTGGATCTGGTTATAAGGTCTTTGTGGGGAAAGAAAATGTCTGAAAAGAAGCGGTAAATATTTTTATCACTCATATGAATGCACGTTCACATGAGCGACCCCCACCCCCCAAAAAAATAATAAATC